ACTTTATTTTCAAATTAAATTATTATACATTGATATTAGTAATTCTAACAAATTTATATAACAACTCATTATGTATGAAAAAAGAACAATTTTGAACTCTTGGAACTACTTACTTATTTTATACTTGCAATGTTAAATATTTTAGCTTGGATTAATACTTTATTTCGTTCAAAATTATCGTGCTGAACGATTTAGTGACATAACATGGAGGCAGCCGGTCGTGTCAAGGGCCGCATCGCATTTTTCAGTGTTCCCAAGAGAAATAGCCAGACGCGCGCGATGAAAAAGTGACAAATTCTTTGTGTACACACGGTATGTTCACCCTTTAAAAACGTATACAAAAATGGCAAAACGAAATTTTACAGTGCTCAAATATTTTGTATGTGACTGATAGTCATACTAAATCGTTCGTAATCGTTAAATTGTTCTGGATCGGCACAAAGCAAATTTAAAAGTCGTAGATTGAGAAAGGAGTTCGAAATCACTCCTCATAATTCAGTCGGGATTTTTGATTTTTTTAAATTAAGGTTAGGTTTTTTTTTGTTTCAAGTCCTTTTCCAACAAGTACTGTCGTGAAGTGTTATCGGCTTGACTGTTTTTGGAAAGAGAGTGTTTTTAACTTCGCTTTATTCCTTCGAAGAGGTTGGATTGATTTATGCGTAGGCAGAGAAGTTTATTAATGTTTTTAATTAATTTTAATTTGGTAAATAATTCTAGAGTAAAAATACTGTGGCACTAGTTTTATTTACAATGTAAATAGAAAAGCATTTTGTTTATTTCGTGACACAGAATCCTGTACACCCGCATAGTAACACAATGGAGGCCACTGTATCAAGCACACAATGCTTTTAAATAACAAAGAAAAGGTTTTCAAATTTTCTTTTGTGTAATTCTAACCCTACAAAAATATTATGTTTTATTTATCTAAAAGTCTAATGTAGATAGACGACGAAGTGTAATCCTTAAATCGCACTTATATGTATTATTTATTAATATCCCTTTTTGTTGTTATCGTTCTTATATATTTTCATAAAAAATAAACAGTGATTTGGTATGTGCAGAAACTTTCAGTTATGCGATAGCTGACCTATACACATGGCCAAATAACAGGTAAACTACTTACTGGTGCTAAATACTAGTTGTATTAAGTGCATACGAAGTACACAGTACTGCTAAGATACATCTTACTAATATTATGAACGCATAAAAAATGCACGGATTGATGATGCATGTTTCTAAGAAGGTATTTCTAGAATGGCTGCATAGATCTGCATGAAATTTGATATAGATGTAGAACTTTCTGGAATAACACGTTGGATAGTTTTGTTATTCCGTGCGGACGAAGTTGCAATCAAAAGCTCGTGTTTTATAAAAAACTTTGCAAAATCTGACATAGCGCCATCTATTTTTCATTTACATGTATTAAATTTGTGTGTTGAATTGTACCTGTACTGCCATCTGTACACCAATGATTGCACTTCTAACCTTTTTCAAAATTGCATAGTTATGAAATTAGATCATAGATGGCGTTAAATCAAATTATTCACAATATTGAATCTGGAGTTTAAAAAAAAATTTATAAATTAAATTATTTCATCTTGAACGTGTAATCGTAAATTGTTCAAATATTATTGTGTCAATTACGTAACCAGGACCTTGGATACTTTACCACTTGAATATGTTTAAACAAATTATATTACAATAAAAGATATTGAAACACATAAAATTTAAATAGTTTTTAACCGATGTAATGTCAGTACTATCAAACTTTATAGACAGTGTTAGATTAATCTATTTGAAATGGTCATTGAATTGAAGATTAATTTGTTTGTCGCTATGCAGATCGGATCGGTCCCTCGGAGATGAATAATTGATCAAATGCAAACACACCGGAACCCAATCCGTCGTGTTTGGGCGCACCGCACACTGTAAGCCGTATTATATTACATTAGCCACGGCCTGAGGCTTGGCTTATCATTTAGCAGCTAATAATAATAATAATAATACAAGCATATCTTGATTTTAAAAAAAAAACTGGTCAAGTGCGAAACAGACTCGCGCCCCGAGGGTTCCGATCAAACCCGTAAGTGTAGAAGTAAAAGTTCACCTATCACTACAATCGAGTCATAGTTAAAAAGTTTATAATTAAAAAAAAATAATGTGTGACATAATAAAATTCAAATTTCTTTTATCATACGTAATATTGTAATATCATATCGTATAATAAACTTCATATCACAGTAATTCTAACGAAAACAAAACAACGTTATGATTTATGAACAAAACACACGAAAGGCACATAATGACGACAAAACAACATTAAACTCAATTAAGTAGCGTTTCCCTGAGGATCTCGTGGAATGTTGTTCTTGTTACGCAATGAACTTAAATTTTTGGTCCAAAATACAAACTTATCGCGACCACATCAACATTAATATAATAATTTATCGATTAAAAAGCAAAAAATCCCGACTGACTTTAAGCTTTTTTTTTATACCATAAGGTGGCAAAAGAGCGAGCGGCCACCTGAGATCGCTGAAATAGCGAAGTGACCGTTGCCTATAGACATACGCGATTGCATTTGCGTTGCCTACCTGTAATCGACAGAGGAGAGGATGCACAGAAAGAAAATATTTTCCCTTCCCATGCATCCTCTCATCCGGAAAGTCCACTACCACTTCCCATCCTTTCCTTATAAGAAAAAGGATGGGAAGGGACAGAGGACTATATTAAGCCTCCGGGACGCACACTCATCAAACGAAACGCGGAATTGCTTCCACTTGACGCCTGTCTTCTGTGTGGCCTATCTCACTGTTGGTTTCAGAGACCAAAATCTCTGTGTAAAATCATCATCATCTCTGTCTATCATGTTTAACAAAACAGAGATAGCAATATGTTTTAAACAGGGATTTAGTCTCCGAAACGGCGAGTCAGTCGTGATAAAAATAGGAAAAACTAGTATTTTAGTAACTAATAAGCTCAAAAACTAATTCTCAGTATATCGTCGTAATGTGTCAGGACATGTAGTTGTGCGCTCTCGATATGTAGTTGTGCGCATGAGCAATGACCAGGAGCACTGAATCAAAGTTCAGTAAGTCAGTAATACCAGCCGCCGGCGACGATGGATGTCTGCAGAGTGTCTTACTGAGCCGGTGACTAAATCTCCATCAGCATACCTAATGTAGTTTATATTTATAATCGCAACAGTTTGTAAATTAAGTCATCGCGATGCTCTAAGCTTTCCTTTGACTTGGGGTCAGTCTCCTGAGCTTTAAGATTCCACGTTTTATGATAATCATTACCCATAATGTGGGTGTTATAATTCTTGTATGACAGTAATAAATTATATGTTCTAAATTCAAAATTAGACATTAAATACTTCGTTATTAAAAAAAATTCAATTCAATTTTTTTTTTTTAAGTGATTTAGAAATAAATGGCTTGAAGGTTGTTTTTTTATTATATATTATTCTAAAAGCATTTTCGCTTACCAGCTTATAATAAAACTGTGTACAAAAAATTACATAAACGCGGAATAACCTTTCATAATATAAACAGAAAACATCAGCGATTTTTATTTCAATAAATTTATCATGAAAACAAAAATTTCCCTCCATAAATAATTTTAAAAAAAGGATTTTGCCCTTTTATGATAATTTATTTAAAACAACAAAGGCATTTTCACTTGCAACGAACAATACATATTTTAAATTTCCATAAGTTCCCGAGGGATGCATAAAAACGGACGAAAGCGTAGTTAAGTGTTAATTACACATGTAAAGAGGATAACTCCCAAGCGATATCTCAGTGAATTCGGGCGGATAAAATTTCGCTATACTCATTAATGATACATTGTTCTTTTGTTACTAAAATTTGAATATGTCCATACATTTTTGAATACTACAAAACATAGGTACTGTTAGGAAGAAAATCCGACACTGTGGCGGTGTACTGGCGCAACACTAGCCTTATTAAAATGTCGACGTTTATATTCCCTCACTAATCATTCTGTCACTTGACTTTGTAATGAAAGCGCGTCATTCGCGCTAAAGGGTTCCAACTAATAATAAAAAGTACTTATCGTCCTTTACAATTCTGTTCTACAAATATTTTGATTAACAATCTGTACTGTCTGTCTGTCTACAACTGGACAGACATTTTTCCAATGTCTGTCCAGTTTATTTGAATGTTTGATTGCCTTATCAATTTTATAAATAGAATAGTATCGTCGGTTGCATCTCCTTATATGTAATTAATTTTAATACAGAATGAATCTTTGATAGTTTAAAATAATATTCTGATACATTCTTTAAACATGATTAATTAGAATCCTTTGGCGCGAGTGGCGCGCTTATATTACAAACCCAAGTGTCAGAATTATTAGTGAGGTGACGTAAACGTCGACATTTTAGTAAGGCTAGTGTTGCGCCATTACACCGCCACAGTGTCGGATTGTCTTCCTAACAATTCAATCGGGATTTACAAGCGTAACTGGTATTTTCGATGTATAAAATGCTTCCTATTTAAAAGGTACAAAATTTCACTCCATTTGCCGAATTCACTCAACTCTCGATGATAAAAAAAAAACTAAAATTAGTCAATAGAATTCTGCCAAAGCCCGCTTCGGCGGCCATCATTTTTTTTGGCCATCCATTGGAAACGTTTACCGGTTAAAATGGCACGTATATCGCTGCGACCGGTTTCGTTTTTCTTTTTCACGTGTGTGAATTTTACATGAAAGTAATTGATACAATTTAAAATAGTTAGAAGAATGTAATAACATTTCTTTTTTAAACGTTGCTGCATTCTATATATCTCACATAAAATTGGAAAATTAAAGGTGCTTTTTATTTACGTAAATTTAAGACTTGAAAGCTGTGTATTTCTTTTACCGTTGCTTTCCGAGAACAAAATCCCTGTATAAAGCATATTGTCTTCCCTGTCATTATTGAAAAAATAGTGATAACAATACGTTTTTAACGAGAATTTTGCTCTCAGAAACCCACGATTAGTTATTCAATGCAAATAACAGTTTCTACTAACTTCCCACACCTAAAATGTGCTATTACATTTTCTATTTTTGACTTGCATGTCTATTTAATTGTTCTATGTTCTATGTTCAATTTACTATGTATTCAAGACTAGTAAATATGAATTTTCATCATTTCATTTTGGGCTTTCTCCAATATGTGGCACAGTTCCGGTCCATGTTATCTTCGCATCTTGCCATCTGAAAATTAATAGAAATTCATAACACAAGAAGTACCAACATCAACTTTTGAAAATCTGTAAATACAGAAAATGCCTGATTGCACACACAACTAGAAAGAGAAGACTAAAAGAAAAATAATCTTACTTGGTATGAATGAGTTTCTCCAAGGGCGTTGCGCTGATGTCATCAGAGCGTAGACCGCCGACGACGTCTTCGTGGCTTCTAGTGTCCACGTTGAGGAGCACGTGGCATCCACCACACGTGTAGTAATGTATGTCGAACCTTGATAAGAAAGGTATCAAAAGACACGTGTTAGTGAGATTTTAACCATCTTCTAACTACTCCATACTGTTACTGCTTCTTAAGTGAAGTTCAAGAGGATCTCGATAGATTGGTATCAGCAGTGAATGTTGCTCACCCAATACATGTTTGAAATACGTTCCTTTTCGTATTCTTCATACATATCTAATTGCTTCAAGACAATATTTGCTTTTAGTAGATTCTTAAATCTTACTGCTTTTATCAATTTAGGCTTAGACTGTTTTGGTTCTCGATACTTAATTGCTCAAAATAACAATTTCCAAATTGAGTAAACCAGCGCTTGACCACAATCCTACTTAAAGACAGTGGACATATATAGATGTACATATGTGCTTATGGCAAATGCCTGACCTTCTGGTGAAGGCACTTATATCTTTATAACCATTTCACTAGCTTGTGTAAGAATTTGACTATTTCTTACCGACGTTCAGCATGATAATTTCTGAGTAATTCTCGATTCGTATTAAACAATACGCCGTAATGTCCAGAGCAGCAGGTCACCTAAAAACGATCTAAAATAAATTTCTCTATCTCCTTAAATATTCAAACAGTATTGGATAGACGAAGTTTCACTTAGACCTTTCCGTCCTTAACTAAATATTAATGAAGCTCCAATAGAAACCACATCGCTCACAAAAATATTTCCAGTTGCTCTATTTTCTGAACCCTATCGTTGGTATCAGATTACATAAAAAATTTAATGCTTTTAGGATTTTAGTTGATAAAAAGAATTATTTAGTATCAATTTAGTTTACTTCTCTAATAGGATTTATGTAAATAAAAACGATTACTAATTCACAGTACTCGTAGAAATCTTTGTTCGGATCTTTTTTATTGTTTCTCAATGCTTGTATTGTTTAATTTAGGAATGATATATGGAGCGTTGATGAATTTATATAATCTGTATTTCTGTGTCAAAATAAAGCAATTTAAGATTACCCATATAGGCAAAGCTGGTGTCTTCAATCTGGAGCCAGGATGTTGCTTGGTGAGATGGCCGGAGCTGTTGTCGTCACTTCCATACCAGACCAGCAGGCCAACGAGACTTCTAAACAGTACTCCAAACTGCGGCATAGCCTGATAGGAGACTTTATTTTTGATTGATGATTAAAACCCTGAATTATGATGTAGTGATACGTTGTCTTTACTACTGATTAGACATTTTCTACTGATGAACAAAATAATTTTTGTTAAGCGTTCAAAGCGCGTCAAAAAATGTAAATTTTTTTATAAAACAAGATTGGTGATTTTCTTTAGAAGGTATTTGTTTTCATTCAAAGGTTAAACGACATTGTTTTCAATCGTTATAAAATAAAGATCGACTTTATCTAACCCAATTGACTTCCATGAAACTGTAACGTCCCGCACGAATGGTTCATAGTTTATCTGCTCTATCGTATACTGTTTTGTGAAATACAGCGTGGGTAGTGTCAATGTAGACATAGAACTAGAATTTGTGACTCGATCAATCGCATTGTCCGGAGATGTGATTCGGCTCAGTTACACTCGAGTCCGGCAGCTTTATGTTGACAATCGATAAGTTCAATACCGTGTTTACAGTTTCAATACCGTGATAATTTAGAGTATATATATATTATATATATTGTAAATCAATGAGTTCACTTTCAGAAATGATCTAATAAAAAAAGTTAAAAAGTAAAATATATACGTGATTTGACGTTTTCTTGAAAACAATACTAGCTAGTTCTTAATTATTTATAGTTTACCTAGATCTAGCCCCAAATCTGGTTACTGATTACCAATCAAAACTGCTCAAAAAAGCCAAACTTACATAATGATCCTCATCACCAACGTACATAACGCCATTGTGAAGATACGGAGTAGCTCTACCAGTGAGGACCAACATTGTCACATTGATGGAACCTTCCACTTGGGTTGATACCAAATAATTTAATTTACCATCAAGATCCTTCATGATACTAGAAAAATAAAAAATAATCAAACCACTGTGTAAACAAATGTTTAGGGTTTCTCGTGTTTTTCAATAATTGGCAAAAGCGTAACTAATTAATATTAACTTTGGGCTCGAAGATTCATGTTGAAAATGATATCTATCAAACTTAAAAGCCAATTAGTTATCTTTGATTTCTTCGAGCTTCGTTGCCGTCTCGCGAAAAGAAAACCTTTGAGATATTATTAACATTGTGTTTACCAGAAGAGAAGATAATCTACTAAGGACTATAAAGAAGACGATGAGGCATTGCTACTTACTTCTCACATCCTCTGGATAATACAGCAGCATAAAGAATTAATAACGCACCAGCTCCTTCCTCCAGAAGAAACTAAAAAAAATTACAATAGTCAATAGTGTTGGTATCAAACACTTGAATCAATCAAAATTATATCCAGCATAGTTAGAACTTAGTAGAATCTGAAAATACCTACTTACCACATACATGTACCGCTTTATAAAGATCTGCAAATCTTCCAACTTGTTGAATTCAAATAAATGCAGCTTGAAAATAATATTTTTTTCAAATTAAAATAATTATTCGAAAACGACCCGAACGTTTGACATCGATAAATGAATCTGGAATGTAGGTTTTATTTTTTATAATCCGCAGAATTTCGTTATTGGACATTCATTTTTTTCATTCACTTCGTTTAAAACTAACGTTTAAAATATTAAAACAGCTTTCAGTAAATGAAGGCATTAAAATAGCATGTTCAATATTTGTTACATTTACGTTAGAAATATATTTCTTATTATATATTCCTCGTACTGAAAATTTTGGTATCTCCATTATTTCGTGGTGTTTCGTTATTTATTCACTTACAATATTTTAAGAAATAAATTTAAAAATCAATCGAGCTATTAAATACGTCATCATGATCATCACCATAAGCCCTCACTAAGGGGCTCGGAGTATACCCTAAGTTAGAGTTGACTAAGTCATAGGCAATGAATATCTTTGAATTTTATATTTTATTTGCAGATATGTGCAGGTTGCATCACGATGTTTTTCTTCACCGTAACCATATCAGATAAATGTAGTTATGTTAATCGAAAAACACGTTAGTGCATGGCCGGATTCGAACTCACTTGCAAATTACGAATTTAAGCCCGGGTCGCTGACGCTCTTCATTAACATGTGTGTCCTTTACCTTTTGTGTCATAACTATGGTATGACGAATTACGACTAATATCTCACCTTTTCAGTAACACCATCCTGATAATACGATGCACTATGCTGCACGTACGTTTTCCCTGTAGGCAGAGCGACTGTAACCTTTGTCTCCGGTGTATTCTGTGAATTAAATCCTCCGCCGCAGCGCCAGATCACTTCACTACATGCCCGCCAAAGTGCTTCCTCCTGTCGTTCGTCTGACGGACGCAAATAGCTGTTGAATGGCACAAATGAAATTCAATGTTAACTATGTTAAAGATGTTAAGAGATAAGGCACAAAATGTACAATTAATGGAGTTATAAATAATTATTACAGATGTGAGATGATCCATTGCCGCTTATTTCCTTCGATGGTCGTTGATGTTAATCATGATGACTATGGCGAAGATGATGACGATGATAATGATGATGATATTAAGAGGGCGATGATAATAATTCTATGTATAATAGTTTTTTATAATGAAGTTATTATCAAAGTGGATGCTTAATAATAAAAGGAAATTGAATGCTTAAATCTTTTTAACTTTGATGTATAAATTTTAAAACTCGTTAATATATAATAGTGTCTTATGTAGAATAGTAAAGAAAAAGTTATGTATTCCCTTGATTACATTGCACACTTACATATGTACCACAGAAAGAAACCGGGCTCATTTATTTTGAATAGGGCATGATTTTGAAAAGGCCACGGTGAAGCGTAAGCCATTTTCAAACTGTAGCCGCGCCTCGGGTTTTATACATAAATGTCACCACGCAATTGTGAATTTCGTGACGTTATAATCACACTGAATGTAATTAAAAGGGTAAATTTAAAATAAAAAAATGTGTCGTTAAAGTATAAATTAAAATTATAAAAACTTAAAAAACTTATTTGAAATAAGTTCATGGAGTTATTTTGGTAACTTAAACCTGTTTGTCTGTTGGGATAGCACATTTCAAAAGTCATAGAGTTCGAAAATTTGTGTATTTTTAAAATGGCGAGTTTTATAAAGAGACGGCAACATACACAGGTGTCACTAGAGACGTGCCTGCTTTTAAAATATGTAAGCTTTTATATCACTAGTACGGCCATATAGTTTGTCTATTTTAAGTCATGATGTATTAAGATCTATTCGTCTTTTTTACTTTAGACATTTACATTTACATACCACAAGATTATAAATATTAGAAAATTTCCAAAAAATCTACTTCCATTCTTAGTGTGTATCGCAAATTTTACCTTTCAGGAGGCTCCGTTGACTTGTTATCCTTTGTCATTGGTCTAGAATCAAAAAGTAGCCACTTGATAAGATGGGCCTGTAGAGCGGAGAGTAAAGATCGAGTGCCGTTACGCGGTGCGGCCAGACCGTAAGCGAGCGGCTGGTCGGGTGCTCGAAGGACCAACGGTGAATGTATCCATTCTCCACGCGGCGGGCACGCCGCTGTACCAAATGTGGTCATACGAAGCTCCTACATTAACAAATAAACAATTTCACTCCTACTGAATTTGGTTTGATACAACAATTGCTTTAACGTTGTTCTTGTAATCTAAACTCAAACAGTTGGAGTTAAAACATAACCTTTTTTTAACGTAACACTTTATACGGTATCGAGTATTCAAATCGATCGATAGTGTAAAGCTGTTCTAGGTTAAGGTCTTGCACTTCATAGGTAATTATACGCACGAACAAAAGTACATCACTCTTTTATATTATAAGATTAGAAGAATCGAAGATAATCATAATTCTTTTAACGTCTTCTTAACGTTGAATGTTGTAACAAATATTTTATTTATTTACTTATTTATAAAGTACTAGTTTTTTTTAGTAATTTTACTAAAAAAAACCGCACTCTTAAATCTTAGCACTTTACTTAATACTAATGCATATAAGACATTACAATTTATAAGAAACTACAATGTAATATATAAAATAAAAGATTTACAGTTAATTTAGGCAGCGTAGATATTTAGTAGATGAATTCTGAATAATAGTAACAATTCAAATTCCTTTCAAATGCAATATATTCGATACGTATTTGCGGAACTTACGATAGCAAGCTCCTCAGTTATAGGCTTCCCGCCTGTCACAGCAGGCTTAGAAGTCGAGAGAAATTTATTTCTTGCATACAGCACTCGCTCTGAAAATAAAGTGATATTTATTAGTTCTATGTATTAGCATACATTTGAATATTCACAAGTACAGCACGGGAAATATGAACACAATATTTACACGAAATTACTCGTAATTGGTCGTAATTACTAACTCTAAAACTATATAGGTTATTGTTTTGTAATTTAGGAACTAAAAATGACTTTGGAAAGTCAATAAAGATAATAAAACCAAAGATTAAATTTAAAAAATAACCATAAAACTCCTCTTGTGATGTTCCTAAAACATTCTTTCTTAACATATTGTTTAAGTCCGATGTAATAGTTTGTTAGAGTAGAGTAGAGTAGAAACTAATTTTGAAATTTTAGAAAAATCAAGACACAGCATTGAAATTGTTTAGTATATATTTATAAAACGACATTGTCCTGAGAAACTGTGGCTCACAAATATTTCTTTAACAGAATAAATGACAATGTAACTTGTAAATAAAGAAGTCGCAATAATCAACTATCTTTCAAATAACAGAAAGACGCACTGAAATTGATAGGGTACGAATAATCATTAAAAGTATAAAAGAAATAGACACACGTTCATACTAACGTTCGACAATCGAAGACGCCATATGGAAGTATTGTAAATTGATTTCAAACAAATAAATCGAAGCTCCAACCAATGCCAAGATCACAATCAGAATATGAAATTTCCTTGTGGCGTTGTGAATGACATTCGAAGTAATTGCGTTCGTGTCTCACGCTTCTAACGTTAGGTGTCTATTGCCGCTGCATTTCATACATGCAAACTTGATTTAAATATGTTTAACTTGCTGTCGCCCTCGACTCCGTCTACGCCGAATAAAAAAAAAACAGCAGCATATGTGTTCCTCCAGAATATGATCTACATCTATACAAAATATCAGCGAGATCCGTTTAGCGGTTCTGGGGACACCTTCTAAAAAATATTAGGAAGAAAAGTAAAATTTCATCGTTTACTTTATAGAAATTTCCCTATGCTCTGGAAACCATAGGATTCAGGTTTACAATTTAAAAGGAGCTTGGTCGTACTCCTATGAAGAAAAAGAAATGATGATTTTTTAATCCTCCTCTGTGTGATTTCACCTCCATGCCACGAAATCTGAAGATATCTAACATATTATCTTTTATGTTATGCGTTATTATTCAAAATGTGCGAATCGCCCATTAAAAATGCTAAAGAAGCTAAGTGGTGAGATGTTATCGACAATTTATAAGCAGAGGATCTGAAGAGTGAGATTTATTAAAGTCGTCTTGACGGGGGACGACCTTGTTAAGATAGTCCTTTCGAGCTCTATTGACAAGTCGGATTGAAACGGTCTTTAGGTAAACGAATGTAAAATATTGTTTTATATAGTTTGTAAAAATATAGGCACGTCTTCTTTTAAATAATGTCTGATACATCGACGTACATACCTTCTAGATGTGTTGGAGGACGCTCCTGATTTTCGCGTAACATTTTATTATTATTTAATCTAAATTCGGTTGACAAAAACTTTTTCGCTGAACTGTACACAATGGAAACGAAGTTCTAGGAGTATTGCGAGAACTTATATTTGAACTTGAAGCTGATGGAATATCGTATAGCGTTGCAACACGTCAAACCTTTGTAGAGTGTGAACTCAAAATGGTTGCAATTTAAGGTGTTTACTGTAGTAACCGTGAAATCTTGTTTATTGCATATATGCATTTAAACACGAACGCTTTTAGTGGAAAAGCGGGAGCGTCAAAACAAACACGACAGCCCAACTGATTGATACACCGACGCTGTAAATGAGTTTTTGAAATTAACCAACCAAAAGCATTGAAAAGGTCGGTCTCATTATCAGCTAAATTCCACTTTTTTTTAATTGGGTTTTTTTGTAAATTATATTTCAGTACGAATTACTAATAAAATGATGAAATATGAATAATATTTTTCGATCTTATGACAAATAAAATGACATTTTCTAAAAATGATTTCTAGCTAGATCGATTTTTCGCCCCCGAAACCCCCCATATACTAAATTTTATGAAAATCGTTGGAGCCGATTCCGAGATTCCAATTATATATATACAAGAATTGCCATTTAAAGATATAGGATACGTATTTGGAACTGACAAAAAGTTGACTTTAATTTATGGTACAAAAATTAATATATGTGAGAACTAATTTAAATCAAATAAATATATGTCTTTAGAAATTCTAAATTCAGTCAGACCAGTCACAAATATTGGGACTGTCAGTTAAGAGTCCAACCACATTGGAATTAATGCTACGTATTAGGACGAAAAATTTAGGATGAATTTCCTTCTCATCGACCAGTGATCTCGTAAGACAGAGGAAGCTACTAGATGTGGTGCATATTCTTCCAAGTATACTGTGAAAGACTATGAGACATTATCTTTGTATATCATACTTCTACAGAACAAACTTCTAAGAATTTCTTATTTTACATATATCTACTTACTACGTTGAGTTTCCACTAACGCGCATCGATCACTTTGGTACTGATTGCAAGTTTACCACGTATCGACCTTCTACGAAATTAACCTGGTAGTTGTAGCCATGATTCTCATCAACCTTCAAACTGAATGGGTTGATGTATGTATAAGTAGGTTGTGTGATTTATATTGCTAAAATAACATTAGAAAGCGTGTATGTATTCAAATTAAAAGCATCTTTAGTACTAGATAGACTAAATACGACGCAAAATAAATTCAAGCATAAACAAAGTTATGAAAAATTTTAAGTTTAAGTTAGTAAAGATTGTAACTTTTCTAAAGTGATCGATATTAATGAAGATAACATGCCGAACGCTAAAATCACTTCAGTTTACTTGATACAGTACTAGCTGTTACCCGCGACTTTGTCCGCGCGGAATTAAGAAACTAATAATAGCCTGTGCGTTCTTCCTATCTATATTCTATACATCTGTGCTAAATTTCACCGAGATCCATGCAGCTGTTTTGGAAATACTTTCTAACAAACATCCATTTATTTAAACTTTCACAATAATAATAGTGAGAATAATATATTAACTATTTACCCATTTAAAAAGGGTATACAAGGTAAATTCAGAGTCAAATTTCCTTATTGGTATGTACTGGCGTGATTACTCACAATTCGTTGGTTGCAGGCGTTCAATCTGATGATATAGTTTGCACCGTTAGAGCTCTCAGTCACGCTTGAAATTGAGAATATGCCGATACACGACTTTGAAGTTACGTTTTGTTTAAAGTCAAGGTTTTTGAGGTTGAGAATATCCTCAGTTTTATAGGTGAAAAAATCTTTACATGGAATATTTTTTTTTTATAACAGAAGGGGACGAGCAGCGGGTACAATACCAAAGGAACCGCAGATGCGTTGCCGGTCTTTGAGATGGTGATAATTTGTTGGATGACGCCTGGTTCTAAAATAAATTAACGTAATAGAAATAATTAAGTATTTGATTTTAAACTCTTATGTAAATATACTGACGATGATAATAATAATAAGAGTTTGGAATATAATATTATGACAAGACATCTTGCAGAAATCTAGTTTACAAGAAATAATAATTTAAAGTCAAAATTAGAATTGTATTTTTGATATAAAATAATTTAAATATCAATTGGATATTAAAAAATCTATAAACATTGAAAAATAAAAACAAAATAAAAATATATACAAAGTTTTAGTAAGACCAAGTTTTTTTCGCTTGCTACGCTTGCACAGCGCGGCGCGAGCACGATCCGTTGCAAATAGAAATAAGAATTCGACAGCCGCAGTTGCCTTGCTTGCTGCTCGCTGTAATCCGAACACAATTTTGCACTTTACCAACAGTCGTCAGGTTTCACATGGATCTACGTAGCGTAAGGTTTGCATTGCAATGTAAATGTTGTATGAAAATATAACACGCATATTATGAACATACATACTTTATGGTAACATACTTTTATATTTCATGCAAGTTTTATTCTTGATAAATACGTGTTTGTTTATTTTATTTCATACCAGCTGTCGCCCGCGACTACGTCCGCGCACTATTACAAAAAAAACCTTAGTTGCCTATGTGTTCTTTCAGATTATGTTCTACATTTAGGCCAAATTTCAGCGAGATCCATGCAGCCTCTGGAGATACCTTCTAACATACATCCAACCATCCGAACATTCGCATTTATATGATGAGTAAGATTATACAGCATTTTTCTACATGTTTGAAATGTTTGATGAACAATGTGATTTTGTTTAGTGGACTGGATTGGAACACTTTCCATTTCATAGACAATATTTACACAAATGAAGATACAAGCAAAGAATTTAAGGACATAAGGTTGAAAACTCCTTATTTCAGTTAGCTTTTATATTATTTCAAAACAATGAAAATAAATTGGTATAAAAATACCTAAATATTTAATTTTGAAAATAGTACTAGAAGTTGGTGAATTTTACGCTCATTCCAACGTAGCTTTAGGTGTTTACGACGAAACGACTTGTTACTACCCTCATAAAAAGCCGCATGTAGTCTTTATATTGAAGTCTTTGTGACCATAAACATCTATATCAGACTTTTCTAATGCTAAGAATAAACATCTATGTTTTATTAATTTAGTGTCCCGAAACAACTTTATTAGATAAATACTCGGAATATTGTATATTTGGTACTTACTATAATTTAATTACAGCTAAATATTGATGGCCTTTGTGTCTATCAATGGGAGTTTTAATTTATGGTACCTTACCTTCGTACATTTTCTCCAAATCGGGTGACAAAAGTAACAGTCTTTTATCAAACTCTTCACTTGTCATATTCTTTTCTCTTTTCCGTGTCTTCATTGCTTCGTAGTTCAAGCTTGTTCGACTTTCAGGAATTTTGTTGTACACAATGAATTTTGTTAGCTGATCCATTTTCAAGATTTTATAACAACTTTAATACCAATAGTCAAAGTAATGTACGTGTATTGAGAGTGATGAAGGAACTAAATTTACTAAGTTAATTGAACATTCTTAACAATCAAAAAGAATTGAAATATAAAGTATTAAATGAAGCAAAGTAAATGGCTTCACAGGACGAAGAGCACGAACGAGCGTTGCTCAATTAACGAAAGAGAGAAATGAAAATTGTTTTGCTAAAACTTTACGATACTTGAGTAACTTCGCACGAATCACATACTGCTAAAGTTAAATAAGATGCTATAAAAGTGAAATCAACATGAATTGGTGATATCAAACAAGTAGTAAAGGTAGAACGATTTGCAGGTGTGAACGCCGCAAACGACAAAATAATTCTGCGAAGGAACACGACATGGCAAGGAATGCTTATGCAAATAACAATTCGTATGGTACACATGCTTGAATTTTAAGCGACTTGACGAATTTAAACTTACGTGTAGTTTAATCGTTTAGACATAATGTAGTTTAGCTGCTTGAAATTAGCAGTTAGTTTTCCTCATTTTACAAATTAAGGATTAGATAGGAACAATTTGTACAGACGGAGATTTGTTTTCCTTTGGTAGTAGTAGGTTTATTCGTTTTACCGTTGGTTTCTGTGACCAAAATCTTTGTATAAAACATATCGTTATCCCTGTTATATTCTTTAATAAAAGAGAGATGACAATATGTTTCCAACAGTATTTTTAGTCCTAAAAACCTACTGTTACTTGGTTAATAAATCTACATACCCTTTGAATCGTTCCTTTTTGTGGTCGATAACACATTTTTCCATCGTTTAATTTCTCTACCCATATTATCACTTCGATTTTCTTATCTTATGTATACATAATTTCAATAATAAAAGTAGTACCAAAACATATACTTCACTAACTCTTAGTATAAAATACGTATTAAGTTAACGTTTTAACTTTAACATGCTTAAGAATAGACTAGATTCAGTGTAAGGTACAAATTGAAAAGAAGTCAAGCCTTTTGTATAGCGCTTGGATATAATTTGTAGGTATGTTTTTCAAAGGTGTTGCTATTCTTGTTCTTTTTATAGTTGGATTAAAATTCCTTGAGGCATAACGCCAGTTTATAAAATGAAAAAAATAAGGTATGTATTTACAAAATAATTTGCAAATACTTACTAAATATACAGAGTCAAGAGAAAATGAAGATAATTTAAGAAACATTGTATTTATTGCAAATAATCCATGTGTATGTCCTTGTCTTTTAATGATATTTTTTTCACTTATTCTAAAATGGACCTATGGTACAATCGCACTATACACAATCTTTTTGAACAATAAAAATTATTAGTAACGAAGTATCAAGATATTTCGGTCGTAGTATAATTCAATTTAAGGATCGCGAACGCTTTTTCATAGTCATAAAGTTTAGCCTGCGGCGTTACTCGCATTTATATTTTATCGACTTAACACTTACTAGAAATAAAAAATTGGAATAGTTAATTGCAAATGGGCCGAAATTACTGTGGGTTTTCACTGACGAAACATTTAAGCAAACATATTTTTGTCACTATTTTTTTCGAAGAGAATATAAGAGATGAAAATACATTTTTGTACTAGAATTTCGGCAGTGAAATCTTACAGTAAGACGTTATTTATAATTGAACCGCATCACAGCAAATATGTATTTAAACAAACAAACAAATATTTTTCAAGCATACATAAAGTAGCCTCATACTAAATGTGCTTATTCATAATTAGCAAAGAAAAAGTGCCTTTGAAATTCTTCTAATAGTCATTAACAATACATAAAACATTCTCTATATGTGAAAAGGCAATTTTCTACTACACAATTTTATGTTTAGTGAAAATAGGTCAAGTACCACTAGGCGTTCATGCTTACAGTAACAGATGTGAATGACTAGAAAAGTATATATCCAAACTATGGAAAACGCCAAAAGATTATTTGTCAATATAAGTTTTCCGAGTAACTAAAATAAAATATAATAAACTAGCTGTCGCCCGCAACTCCGTCCGCGTGGAATGAAAAAAAACCCATAATGAGTGCCCGGCTACTATTCGAACTTTTCTTACCTTTTAAACCTTCCCAAGTCCTCCGCGCACATTTCAAGACCAAGATAAGATAAATCCGTTCAGCCGTTCTCGAGTTTTAACGAGACTAACGAACAGCAATTGATTTTATATATTTAGATAAAATTAATACTATAATTAAATTAAATTGAGAATGGAACAACTTAGGGTTTATCGAAAATCGGTATTTTGGCATCCACCGCAGCACATACCGAATGAACATCTTTTCTCTAAATAAATATATTTATTTCTTTTTTCCTATCTTCCATTCTTCCTTACTAACTAAGCCGACCACTTAGTTTATCACTAAGCAAATTAGACAGGCAAAGTAAAAGCTAGGACCTACGATCTTTCAACTTAATTTTTTCATCAAATAATTAGATTTTAAAGAGAACAGAGAGTGGATTTGAATCAGTTAGTTTTACAATTAGTAACCCAAATTCATCAAAACATCCATGTTAACATTGTTTAACCTTATATTTAAACGGTCACCATAATTAGCAATGATTTAAAATATATTAACATTAATCCTATGAGAGATTACCTTAATTCAGTGAATTTATAAAAATGTCTACTGAACATAATGCTTTATTACATTTTTACAATCTCAGCATCACAATTTAATATCGTACCCAGGAAGTATTTCAATTTAGTTTCCACTTTTGACAAATAAATTGGACTGCCACAAACAACCGTGAAGCCTCGTGCATATTTTATAATACTGAACGAGCATTAAAAGCATATTCTATTGTGAATAAAGATTTAACAAATTTAATAATAGTAATAATATATAATACACTATTTTTTTTCACTTAATAAAAACATATGCAAACGTCGTAATATTTTAACAAAAACTCTCTTGAATACTTCTCATGTAGGTTTGTAAAACATTTTTGGAGCAAGCATGCTACATAGCTACTATTTACGAACCAATACAATACTTAATATACAAAACAAGCTAATACTTTTAAAATTTATCGAGAATGACATCCCTAAATGGAATTTTACAGTACAGTCAGCTTCATAACTATGTATCCATTTACAAAGCTTCAGAAACCAGAACATGCTTTCAGGTATAAAAACATATGTACACGTATCCGTTCGCATACTTCCGACCATGAATAAATGTTAGTGATGAATACGTGCATACGTATTTTTGAAACGCGTGACCTACACAAGTTTCTGAATTTTTGTAAATGAATACATATTAATGCAGCTGACTGTACAACATACAGATGTACCTATAACTTAGGGTTGTACCTCAAGTATTGATATTCCAAAATATTGCATCAATTTTCAATATCTCTAATATGAAAAAATAAACGCTGCAGAGAGAAGCCTTAGAAATGATCGATGAGGCTCTAACGAATTAAATAAAAGGCAATTTATCATACTTGTGCTTATGGCACGAATCTTTTTCATCTTTTCCTGGGGTTATTTTTTAGCATTCGCTTTTTAAGATCGTATGACAAATTATCATTTAATGTCCCAAAGATGTTTATACTCTATGATTTACTCAGCAATGGATTTATTGTAAATTACTATAAAAAAGTAAAATAGCTTTCTTTTAGACATCTAATTCCTACTCTGTGATGTTATTTGTAAACTGAAGTAGGATTATAATTTAACTAGCTGTCGTCCGTGGCTCTGCTCACCTATGTGTTCTTTTAGACTATGTTTTACATCTGTGCCATAATCAAGATTCGTTTAGCAGGTCCGAAGATACCTTCTAACAAACATCCATCCATCCATCCATAAATCTAAACATTCGCATTTATAATATTAGTAAAAAGTAAGATACAGAATCTCTTCGCAGATAAGATAAAATTAATTTTATATAATACAAATCGAAATATTTCAAAGCTGTCGTCGAAAAGCTTCAACTTTTACTCGTTACCTTTTTATGACATCAAAGCACGAATCTCATTTGAAATCTTCACGCTGCGAACAGCCAGTGTTACCATGAGTTTTTCCTTTCCGAATTTCAATAGGTATTCTAAATTACGAATTCTTTGTACGGTTAATTCTATATAAAGTCTGCTAAAATTGAAATTCCAAAATTATTATTAAGCTCGCATTGGTAAATGTATAAAATACACCGTCTGTGTCCAAATTATACGAAACGAACAAATGGATCCGCTGTATTGTTTTATGTTGTTTTGTTATTATTTCAAGTAGGCTTTTCATCAATTTTGTAGAGTAGATAATTAAATTTGTTATAAAGAGCATCCAACATTTTATGAAATAAATTTACTAATATTACAAATCCGAATGTTTACATGGATGGATAATGGATGTTAGAAGGTACTTTCAAAATGGTTGCATAGATCTCGATGAAATTTGGATATAGAACAGTCTGGAAGAACACATAGACTGCTAATTTTTTTTTGCAATTCCACGCGAACAAATGCTCGGTCGAAGATTATAGGTATATGTTTATTACATTATGAGTGAATGTGATTTCTGCTCAAATGTGGCATTTGAATTATCTTTTTCTTCTTCTTCCAATGCCTCTCCATTTCTGGAGGTTGGCCGTCAGCTCAGCGAACCCTTTCCTGTCCTGTGCCAAGCGAAAAAGTTGTTCAACGCTGGCATTATGGAATTATCATAAAAGAAAAATAAACTCATCGTAATCTATATTGTTTAATTCAGAAGTGGCAATTATAATTGCATGGCTTTGTCCTTATTTTGTCTTTGAAATCAACTTTATAAATAACTTAAAAGTAGAAGCTCGTTGGAAAATCGTGCAAAAATTTAAAATACAATTTACCTGTACTGTCTTTATTTCTGTTTCGGAGGACAAACCGAGAGGCGGCCGGCTCTAACTGAATAATTTAAACTAATCTTTGTTTCGGCAATAATTTGTTCATTTGTAATTGTTTTTTGTTCAAAATAAAACTGTGGAATAT